GTTGACAAATCAATATGAGCATTAATTCAAACATTGCACATAACCTATTTATAGATATTGTGTGTAGCTATATGCAAGTGATAGATGCCAAACATCTCCACGGTTAACATTAAACCAACGAATAGAATTTATGAAAGTAAATTTCATAAAAAAATATTAAACTATTTATAACTACGTATACAATATCAACTAAAGTCTTTATTAAAGAGTATGATGTCATACAATTCGATAATTGCCCAGATTCTTTTTATTTTTATCCCAGAACTATAAAGCATCTTTATACGAAGATTTACACAAATCAATTTAGCAAAACAACTAGGCAAAAACAGATCATCACTTCATTGATCTACCATAAAACATGTAGATTACGTATCAATGTTGTCTTTCAGTTAATTGTAAAAGGACTGGATGACAATAACTTATAAAGATTCATGTTTATGTTGTTGGATAAGGAGGAAAGCCCATGGTGGGGGAGAATTACAATAAGTGATAATCTATAACAATAAATGTGTTCGGACACCTCATGTCAATTAAAAATCTTAAGACATTAAATTTATGATTCCTTTCACTTATATATTTCATGCTAGCTCATTCTTTTATGAATTTATTAATTAAAAATGGGCAACTCTTGGTTCTACAGCCATGGGTCCAGGGCCAAACCCAAACCACCATCTACAAAACTTGACCCACCAATTACACTTGGCTAACACATGTCAATCAATCACCAGCTTTAATACCATTATTGTAGTGCGGTCAGGGAAATAATGAGCTATATAGCACCGATACTGACACGGGACACGATATGACACGACACTCTGATACATTAATTCTAAAAAATGTTAGATTTCGACACGTTAGGACACATTTTGATATTAAATAATATTTTTAGTTTATGTAGTGTATATTTTATTTAATATTCAATAATCTAACAAAAATTGAAACTACACTTATAATATTCATCAATTTTGCAAAGAAACATATAATATCTCAAATATTTATATTAAACTCAATAAAATGATAATCGTAATCCAATGAATCTAATAGTTGGAACTAAAAACTCAACACAATGTAACCTTTGAACTTTTTTTGAATTTCTATAACGCGTGTTGGAGTGTCGGGGAGTTTCGAAGTGTTAGAGAGGGTCGGGAAGTGTCGCACAAGACACGTCAGGATTTTTTGAAGTGTCAATGCTTCATAGATAATGAGCTAGATGTGGCATATATAATTAATTGAAAGGATTCATAAATTTAATGCCTTAAAATTTTGATTTGAGATGTGAACTGTAATCAACTTATTATCGCCTTATTGCTTTAATCCATTGATATGTGGATGGATGTCTCCCTTATTTTGAACTCCCCGGACAACTGCGTAACACATATAATTACTAAAGGGAAAAAGAAAGAAAGAAATAATATGAAAATGATATATAGGCATTTTATTATAATGTCGTATTTCCAAAAATATAATCAAGGGCTGCCCCAGTTCATGCACCCACGAGCGATGGCTGTGTTGTGTTGTGCCATTTTTTCTCCCTCTTGCTGGCTGCTGCCAAATCTATATATTAGCGTATCCATCATAATGAGGTCATCGGTCAATTTTGTCTTTGCATTTTAATTAGTTATGCAATTTTATTTTGTTCTTGTTGTATGATCACTTTCAGTTTCTTTTGATATAAGTTTCTTATGGACACCAAATAATAAAACCAAAAAGCCAGCTTAATTAAGCATGCTCCTGTGTATGCATCAATCTCATGCAATGAACAATATCAAGGATGATGACATCTTATTTTTCTATTTGATAGGTTGATTATCAAACATTTACTTACCGAATTCTTATCCGGATGGTATCATCAAATATAAATAACAATATTATTAAGCTCAAACCGGTCATCGACTTGGTTGGGATAGCGGGTCAATGAATCACTGGTTGAACTGTTTAAATTAAATTTATGTAAAGATATATAATAAATATATAAATGGAAGTAATATGACAACCCAAATAGTTTGGCTTGGTGGTTAGCATTTCACTCTCCTTCCCTTAGGTGTCAAATTCAAATCCCCATAGTAAAATTGTGGTGAAATATTTTTCCACAATTTTAAAAAATCGGTTCAACCAGAACATCAGTACCGGGTTAACACCGATTGAACCTGAGTTTTGATTGTTTCACTAGTTCTTGATTAGGTTGTATTCATCACCAGTTAGTTGGCTGAACTGTATCGATTAGTGGTCCGATTTACTATTCAACCGGTCCGAACCGGCAGAGTTGAACCGGTTTTAGTAACACTGATAAATAATATTTTGCATATTTTAGCTAGATATCTTTATTTTAACTCTTTTAGTTATTATTCTTTTAGGATCTAAGGACGTAGCATATATGTAAAAAAAAAGTGTAGAGTAGGATTTTTGACGTTTTTTTTTGTCACATGATATAAAGTTATTTTCGACAATCCTAAAATGATATTATTTTGGGGTTAAAGATTGAAAATAAAGGATAATTTATTTAACTTTATAATATAAAGAGGAATGTAATTTTTTTAAAATATCCTTTATTTTTAATCCTAAACCCCAAAATACTTATAGAAGATAACTTTTTCTACTGTCATGCATATAGAGAAACATTTTTTCATATATAATTTGATTTTGATATCCCAATTTATGTGTTAAACAATTAAGGTTTTATGAATGATAATCTTTTGAGTTAGAGATTGATGCCAACGCCAGTAATGGACAATGAAAATGCTACGTACATTCCATATGGGATATCGAGAATGCATCGTAGTAATGTAATATAAAATAATATTTTACGTATTAAAAGCGCATCTATGTCTACGCGATTAGATTTTTTAATTTCTGTTTAAATAGCATAATTATTAGGTGCATGATTTTGTCGAGTTAAAAGTATAATCAATTGAGAAGAGAGGATAATTGATTTTGGTATCATGATGTCTAAAGCTTAGCTTTATGTCTATCCTTTATAGGATGTTTAATAATGAGAGACTAGCTTGATCGTTTCATCATAGATTCTTTAACTTGTCCGTGCTTCCCTAGAAGAAAAAAGACATGAAAGTGTTTACCAAAAAAAAAGAAAGAAAAAAAGACAAGAAAGTTACAAATCTCTTATAGGGAAAAAAAATGTAAAAAAGTTACAAAGAAAACCCAAATAAAAAAGAAAGAAAGAGAGAAGCGCGTGCAAGAGAAAAGATGGTAGCCACCTGTGGATGTGAGGTTGGGTTAGTTTCTGAAAAAACCAAGAGAGGGTGAACAGCCACCCAAGTAGGGTCCCATTTCCTACCAAAAACGAAGATGACTCAAACCCTTAACGAAGAACATGGTCACATTCTCAAGTGACAAAAGATGGTAGGGGTCCATCAGTATGTGTACACATGCATTCTCCACAAGTTTCTGCAGTGTCTTTTAAAACTTTGAGATTAAACTTCGTTTCCCATTATTTTTTTGCTCTCTCTTTCCTTTTCCCGAGATTAAAGTTTCCCACCCAACTTAGTTTATTTCTATATTTAAATCTATATTCTTCAAGTGGCACTATTCATATGGCGAAAGCATCCTCCTCTCTTTTGTTTTAAAAACATCAATGGTTTCTTCAAAATTCAGATTAATTATTTTAGGCTCGAACTTACCATCATATCCACTAAAACTCACATCATTTTCAGCTCAAATAAAAGTAGCATTTTTATTCCTCGAATACTTCGTTAACGAGACGAAAGAAGTTTCATTTACTTGGGAAAAGTGGAAATATGATATCTTAATAATAAATTTTCAACTTCACGATTGTAAGCTAGTGATTTTAACTCAATATGTTGGCTGCAAACAGCATACACGTGTTAAATTGTTAAAAATTTCAATCACCAATTAATTTTTACCCCATGTCATTGTGGGCGAGTCCGTGAACTTTGAGAAGTAGTAATTCCAGAGTGTAATTATATCGGTTGATATCATATGAATTTTTTTTAATATAATATTGCTTGATCATGGTGGATCAAGAATTCTCTCATATATGAGGGCTAGCTGTGTAATGGAGGAAATAATCGCACGTGGTGGTGAGTTGAATGATGTGTAAACTAAAATTGATTGAGGGGCTGGGATATTTAGAATTTGAATTATGAGGTATCAAATTGATAAAATTAATGTGTATTAGAAACAATTATTGATAGGGAAGAAATTCTTAAATGTTCTTAGAGTAAGAGTAAGCTATTATTATGTATTATTAATTTAATGTATGTCACATCATATTGTTAAAATAATAGACATTAAATGACATAAGTTAAAAAAAAATTCTTCTTCCAGGAATACATATACAAAGGTACCTACAAACCTCTTGTATATATTTTATAAGAAGGATTATATTGATAATTTTTTTTTTATAAATTTACAAACTATAATATTATGTCTTACCGGTAAGACTTCACTCTAAAGTGTATTACCAGTAAAATATAGTGTAATTTAAAAATAAAAAATTTGTAAATATAATCTTCCTCATATTTTTTAAGATTAAACTCAATCTATTAATTCTAGAGGAGGACCTAAAAATTCTCTCTCAACAATAAATATATATCTTAAGACTAAAACGAATTGATTATTTTTATACGATTTACTAAATTAGTTTACTAATCTATAATTTGTTTTTATTTTTTTTTATAACAATCCATAATTTTATTTTATTTTGGTATTACATATAACAATCTGTAGATAATAAGACAACATGTATCAGCATAACTTTTCTTAATGGATTAATATTTCTCATCTCATGGGAAATAAAATTATTTCATACACACATGGAAAAGTATAAAGAGTTCATTTGAGATCATGTGAATAGAAATAGAGAGAAAAAGAAAATATAACTACTACTTTTACACGTGTGTAGGAGTACAACATGATAAAAATTAATCCTTAAATAAATTTCTTCAATTCTTAGCCGCTCCTTGAAGTTGAAGGGCCTATAAATTCATCAAGTTGCACCTCCTAGAACCGCACTCTTCATAGCATATACTCATATAGCTGATTAAAGTGAAAGAGAAAAGAAAGAAGCAAATGGCAAACTTTCCAGTAGTTGACATGGGGAAGCTTAACAACGAAGAGAGAGGAGCAACCATGGAGATGATTAAAGATGCCTGTGAGAACTGGGGTTTCTTTGAGGTACTTTATATCCTTTATACTGAAAAGGCTTTGCCAACATTATTTCTTTTTTGTGGGTTTTAATTCCTTTTTTTTTTCTTTGTCAAGTTGGTGAACCATGGGATATCCATTGAGTTGATGGACACAGTGGAGAGGCTCACAAAAGAGGACTACAAGAAGCGTAGGGAGCAAAGGTTCAAAGAAATGGTGGCCAGCAAAGGTCTTGATTCTGTTGAGTCAGAAGTCGACGAGTTAGATTGGGAAAGCACCTTCTTTTTGCGCCATCGTCCAGTCTCTAACACTTCGGAGATCCCTGATCTTGATGAAGATTACAGGTAATACTTACTATTTGTTAAACCATATATATATATATCTTTGGGCATCTATTTGTGCTTATTTTTGGTACAATATTTTGTGTCCTTTTTTTTTTTTTTTTTTCCTTGGGGCATTTTAATTTCAGGAAGGCAATGAAGGAATTTGCACAGGAATTGGAGAAACTGGCAGAGCTACTTCTTGACTTGCTGTGTGAGAATCTGGGGCTGGAGAAAGGGTACATGAAGAAGGTCTTTTATGGATCAAAGGGCCCAAATTTTGGCACCAAAGTTAGCAACTACCCTCCTTGTACCAAGCCTGAACTCATCAAGGGCCTCAGAGCCCATACAGATGCTGGTGGTATCATCCTACTCTTCCAAGATGACAAGGTCAGTGGACTGCAGCTCCTCAAGGATGACCAGTGGATTGATGTCCCACCAATGCCTCACTCCATTGTCATCAACCTTGGTGACCAACTTGAGGTATATATAATGTTAATTTCTTACTTCGAGATATTAATATTAAATTATTAAGGTAATCATCATTTACGAGCTTAAATTATTGAGTTAAATTTGTTGCCTTATAGGATACAGTGATCATGAGTTTGAATCTCACCGTCTCATTTTTTAATTTAAAAAAATGTTAAAATCAACATAATGTAAACAAAAAAGAATGGAATTGTGCATCATACACGCTTAAGTCCAAAGACTCTTGCATGGGATATTAATATAAAACTATTAAGGTGATTATCACTCATGAGCAAGCTTTTAGTCCTTGTGGACAAAATAGGTTCCATGACACCCAATAGCATAGTCTTAGCAATGAATGCATTTATTAACTTGATTCTAAAATTTAACATTTTAGTGCTTTTCTGGTCATAACAGGTCATAACCAATGGCAAGTACAAGAGCGTCATGCACAGAGTACTTGCTCAAACAGATGGTAATAGAATGTCTCTAGCCTCATTCTACAACCCAGGCAATGATGCTGTCATCTCTCCAGCACCAGCCTTGGTGAAGGAAGATGAGACAAATCAAGTCTACCCAAAATTTGTTTTTGATGATTACATGAAGCTCTATGCTGGTCTCAAGTTCCAGGCCAAAGAGCCAAGATTTGAAGCCATGAAGGCCATTTCCAACGTTAATTTGGGCCCCATAGCAACTGTCTGAGCCTGAGCTTATGGAAGCATTTGATCCATTATGTGTGTTTCTGTTAATGTGATAAGGCTACTAAGCTTACCCATTAGTGTTTGGTATGGTATGGAAGCTTAAGCATGTGTAGTATAAACCTTATAGTTCAAAATAAAGTATTAGCTCGATTATATATATTGTGTGTGTGATCAATTATGTTGTCTGGTGTTTATGTAAGTGCGATGTACTGAGTTCTGTTTATAAAGTATCCTCATCTTGCCTATTTCACAAGAAATTGTCTCTCATAATTGTTCTTTGGCTTATTATGCTTTGTAATAATATCCTGTGATGCATTTAAAAATACATACATATATATATATATATATATATATATATATATATATATATATATAATGTAGGATCATTTGACACCAGTGTCAAATTTGAAATTTGACACCTCAACTGAGAGTCATTAGATTAAAAAAAATCAACGACTCTGATTTGTAAGCATGTGACACCATTGATCTTTTTTTATCTAACGGTTCTCAGATGAGGTGTCAAATTTTAAATTTGACACTGGTGTCAAAAGATGTTAAATATATATAGAGAACGGGGGGGGAGCGACCCTATTATTATATCTTGTTCCAGTCTCTGATTGAGTAGCATATCCAATAAATAAGTTGTCCCTTAATAACTTCAATTACGTCAACACGTGTATTTCAATTGGCATATATTGGTCTTAATCATGATGCTGTTAAAGGCTTAATTACTCACTAGATCTCATCTAGTCTCTCTCCCTTACTTAAGTGCTTGCACCTTCTTTAAATAATATATAAAAAAAAAACTTCATGTTATGCAATCCGTGACATTCCAATCTATGATACCAGTTTACTTTTTAGAGGGGGAGATTGGTGATTCTATTTGAGGAAACGAAAGGCACCTTATACTGACATATTAAATCTATTGAACAGCAACCAAACTAGAATATTAATATTAACAATCTAAAGGTAAGAAAGCAGGTTCCTTGGATTTAAAAACCAACACTAATAAGTGGCTATCAGCAGCATCATGAAATTAAAGAATTGAAAAAAAAAAATATAAAAAAATAGGACACTATAGTTGATAAGAGAACAAACTAATGGATTCTGGTTTTATTTTTGGCTCTGATTTATAAAAAAGTGTATGGGGAACTTCAACTAGTCATAATGCTAAATTGGGACCACAAGGACCACTTCACCAAAGCTGCTTTCCTTCAGGCACCCAAAAATCACTTCGAATATAGTTGATTTTTCACATTGAAGAATAGCATGCAAGTTTACCCCAAAGGGGTAAAAAAAAGAAAGCCAAGTTAATAATCATGAACATGTTATAATAAAGGAAAAGAATGCAATCAACAGCGTGACTAGGATAAGTGTTGAATGGATAGGCTGATGTCTATCAACAACACATATTTTCCTTCTATTACTTTATTGCTGGTAAAATGGAATACGTTTGTGTTCTATAAGATTAATATGCATTCACATTGCATGCTCCGAAGAAATTGAAGCTTTATATTTATATGCAAATAATGTCCAAATAGGAAACAAACCTATCAGGCACTGAAAATAATTTTTGGTGTACGAGGAAAAATGAAATATAAAATAATTAATTTAGTCTCACCTAATGTCTTAAGGTTTTGGGTTGAAGTAGCGCTTATCATGATATCAAAGTTTTACCACGAGGTCACGAGTTCGATCCTCACCGCTCCCACTTTAAGATGAAATTAAGAAAAACACAAGGCAGACCAAAAAAATAGGTTTGTGCAGTACAAGACAGACCAATAATGAACTTGTGTCATATCCACGCTTCAAGCCCAAAAGGCTTTTACGTGAGGGGATGTGTTAGAGAAATATAAAATAATTAATTTAGTTTTCCTCAATGCTTTAAAATTTTGGATTGAAGTTACGCTTATCATGCATAGATTTTATTAATGTTTTTAAAATTGAACTATTGACAAGAAACTGATAACACTTTCAGTTTATACTCAACTATTTAAATTGAGTAGTCAAACTGGATAGCGTCGAACAGGTAATATACATACATCAATACTATATATACAAAACACTCATGGAATGTTAAAAAAAAATGGTTTCTTTAAAATAATAATTAATTGTTGTTTGGTGTCTTTTAACAATTAATGAGTTCCACATAACTTTTAATTATGATCATAGAAAATATTAACATTTGTAAGTTCCAGCAGAGGATAGCAAGGCCCCATAAATTATTAGATAACACTATATTTTCACTATAACTTTTAAAAATAAAATAAAAAATAGATGAGTTCATATTAGCCTCTGAAGGATTTATAATGAAAAAGATGTGTAAATATCATTATTCAAACATGAGTTTCCAAAGGGTCGGCAACAAACAAATCTTTTCAAGAAATACGCTTTCCTCAGCAAATTGCAACACACCCAAAATAGGGGAAAAAGAATGACAGATCTTTGGTGTTTAAAATTGATTATTGGAAAATCATATTGTGAAAATAATGTTCATTAATATTCTCCTTCAGATTAACAAGAACACAAGAAAAAATAAAGGATAAACAATCGCAGAACTATATAGTTTAGGAACCCAAAATTTTCAATTTCCATTTAAAAAGCATGCAGAAATTCCCTTTTGAGCTCAGAATCAGAAGGACATTCTTTCTCCAAAGGCTTCATTGGATATACCACTGAACAGACATAGATGATATTTCAAAGCCACATATCATTCATCTCAAATTCTACTAGCCTCATTGATCTCATTTCACCAGTGCAATTCGGTTGTATGTTCTAGATCCTTTTACTTCTCCTTTCCTTGCATCTTCATTGGAGCAATGATTCTTTATAACCATTGAAATATCGATCTCAGAAGCTCCTGCAAGCTTAAAACGCTCAATAGCAGCATCCAGAATTTTCTTCCAATCACCCATTCCTAATTTGCACTCAACTTGTTGGGACCGTTCAAATAGCATATTACCCCAGAAAAGGTGAATCTGCGATCTCATGACAGTTGCTTGCTCTGCAGCTTCTTCTGCAGATATATCACCTTCAGTGGCACCTCTCTTTATTTTTCTTCTTCTCAATAGTTCTTCTTTCTTGCTTGTATTCGGGTCCTTTAGCTCATTTGCTCTCAGTTCTTCCTGCTTCTCCCACATATCAGTTGCAGCTCTCATCTTCTCCTCTGCACTGTTAAAAAGTTGAAGTGTCTCTGTAGAATCCAAGCCTGATAAATCTACCTTCTTAGCAAGTGTGAAAGACCAATGAAGCTTAGCCATTTCAAATTGTTGCTGCCCCAAAGCAAACAATCCATCATAAAAGTCTGGTTTAATCAAGAGTGCTTGTTCGTACTTATATCTTGCCAAAGAGAATTTTTCCTTGACCCAGTCATATGCAACTTGAAGCCGTTCTGCCACTACTGATTCATCTAAGGGGATACGTTTCCCAGCAGCAGACATGTGTACATTTCCCCAGTTGAAGAATTCCAAAGCAGCCACCTCCTGGAACTTTAAAGCAGCTTTGTCAAAGAGATCCTGAGCTTCCTCACTAGGTACCGTTTCCTCAAGTGCCTCTGAACAAATCTCCATCCCAAGCTCATGCAAGTCAACATGAGCATCTGGATCAATACCAACATGTGACCGGAAAAGCTCAGCAAATTCAAACAACCAACCATCCATCTCCACTTCTGTAGCAACTGGTTTTTCCTTTGGACCATCTTTCTCTATCTTATCAACCTTGGTATCAGGAGCTTTAGAAACGGATTCACCTCCATCTCCCTCCATCACTTCACTCTCAATGGGGTTTTCTTCCTCTTCTTCCAATAAAGGTGGCTCCAGCTCAGGACTAACTTTAACAATCCGAGTTCATGAGTAGAGGTTATAGTCACCAAACCACCATCATTATCCTTATATTGATCAGAACTGACTTAGATGATGGAAAAGTTTTGCTCACATAATCTCTCAGTGCTCTAAAACTGCAATTCACTGTCATTTGTGCAAGCCTAATGTCATGATCATAAACAAGTTTCAATGGTCTCCCCTGGTGATTTTCTTTTCTTGGGTTAGCCAAGCCATTTGAATTTGAGGGCTTCAATTGGTACTTAGTCTCAGGACCATTTTCAATGGGTTGGGACTTGTCCTGCTTCTTTGGTCCCAACACTGTCCTCAATCTCTGAGCAATCTCCAAAGCATCAGGGGTAGGGTCAGTTCCCAACGACACTTTAACATCTTGCACTGCCATTTCATGCTTGCCTATAGCCTCAAACGCACTAGCCCTCCGAACAAGTGCCCTCACAAATTGTGGTTGCACCTGAAGCGCCATGGTGCACTCAGCAATCACAAGTTCATAATCAATGGGCTTCATCTGCATCAAACACGCTGCTCTATTGCTATGAAACACAGCCCTATCAGGGTTGGTCTTGGGAATTAGCACAAGACCTTTCTCATACAGTTCAAGAGCACCAACATAGTCCTCATTCTGAAATCTCTTATTCCCTTCTTCTTTCAGCTCATGGGCACTCTTCAAAAACTTTGAAGAATCCAATTCCACACCACCATTACCCGTTGGGGCTGAATTATCAACAATTGAACCAACACCCTTTTTTCTTCTACCGATGGAATTCCCCATATATTTCAGTTTTAAATCTCTCTCTTTTGATCGCTCAGACACAAACACAACCTCGATTTATGTACGCAGAAATGCTTATTACCTAAATGAAAACCAGTATTGGTAATGTTCCCAGGTGGGTGAGAGGTACTTACGAGTGAGGTGCTGAAAGCTGAATTCTTTTCTCCAAAAAAGCAAAGAATCTTTCTGGCCCAGTGGAGAAGGCGAACTCTAAAGGAAGAACAAGTGGGGTTAAGCTAGGTTGAGCAGTGATGTTGGGTTTTGAGAACTGGGCTATTCAAGTTTGAAACCCTAGATAATATTTTTCAGTGCGTTCTGTTAGTTTACCTTTATTCTAGCAAACAAACTGAGTAAGTAAAAGATATGATCCATACTTTTTCAGCATCTCCGTAACATTCAAAAAATTCCAACAAGGATTGCTTCAGACTTTTGGGTCCTTCGACTTTGGAAGAGTCATCAAAAAACTCGGAACAGTGAGTAAAGTATTAGTCAAATTTTTTATTCACGAATAATAATTTTTATCATAATGTCACGCGATGTAATTCAATATGATTAGTAGTAACGAATTACGTTCGTCAATGATTTCGTTATATATGGTCATATTGCGTACCAAATTCGTTATCACTAATAACGAATTATGTCTAGTCAACTTTTTTTTATGAAAATATGTCACGTGTCACAAAATCATTGATAGACATAATTCGCTATCAGTCATAACGAATTAGGTTGGATGATAATGTGGTAAAAAATATTGTTAATGTGATATTTGATAAAAAAAATTTGCAAAAAAATGGCACTTTGATCGATGTTCACAAATTACTTTATTCATATTTATGACTTAATTTTTTCGGATTTAGTTTAATTGTTTCTGATGTTTACGAAGATGATTAGATCATATAGATACATACAAATAATATTTTTCTTTTTAAATGACATAATTTATATTATTTTAGTCTCACAAAGAGGTGAGACCCACACTTTTTTTTTTGTCAACTATTTCTTTTTCTTTATTTATTTTTTTTCTTTTTTAAAATGAAACAACTTTACATTTTTTAAAATGACGAACACTTTTTTCATAAATATTTTATATATTCACCATGGCAAAGTGGGGCCGTGCCTTTGTCCTCCTGGACCGTACGATCTATGGGACATTCAACACCCAGTGATCCTGAGTCCTGACATTTCATTTCTTTATGTATATTGTTTAGACTCTTGTAAATGAATATCATTTTAAAGCACACCATTTGAATTTTTGTTATATATTTATTACGAAAAATTATAGTATCTAATATCTATTTAATTTTTTTAATTTTTAATTTTTTTATTGTTATATTAAATTTAAATCAACGGTCTCAAATATAATACTTTTATTATTATTTTGCTTCTTTCTCCCTTAGTTTCAAGATAGAATAAATAGCCAATATAACCATTCCCTATTTATTAACCTTTTTCTCTCTATAAGATTAAGAAAAAAATATAAAAAATAAATAAATATACATTAAAATAAAATTATTTATAGGGGCAGAATATGTTTACCATAAATTTTTTTTATCACTTTTATAATCAATCTAATCACCGTCGATTTTTGTCTATCTTACGGTTATAATTTATTAGAAATTAATAATTAATTAATAAATGCGACCCAATAATTTTCAATAAATTATAACCGTTAGATTGACGAAAATCAATGGTGATTAGATTGGTTGTAAATTTTTTTAGTGGTAAGTATATTCTTTCCCTTATTTATATACTTTAAAACGAGAAACATTTTTCTCTTTCAACAATCATAATCAATTCAAAAAAATACTTATTCAAGGTATGGTTTTTTTCACCCTTATAATTTATCTTTTTAGTATTGGTTATTGAACTCATTTATATTTAAAGATTATAATTTATTAATTATGTGAATTATTGGATTGAAAACAAGATTTATATATAAGTTATTTGACCTTATTTATATACATGAAAATTCTTAATCATTTTCACACCTTATGTATTTGAGGAAATAAAAGCAAGAAGAGAAGAAGATGATGTGTCAACCGAGCTATAAAAGTTGGTATGAGGAAGATCAAAATTCTATGACGGTCAATGTAAGGGAAAAGATGGTGGCTTAGCGTGGTGTGTGGGCACTTGTTGAGTGCTCAAATGATGATGAGAGAGTGCAATGCGTCAATGACCAAAGCGTCTTGTATAGATAGTTGTGTAATATTCCAGAAATTATGAAGTGGCACTACGAATATGCAAGTGAGTGTGTGAGGTGAGGGGCAAATATGATGAATCATTCAACAATGGTGAAAAAGTGATTATTTAGAAAGAGGGGACAATATTCCATGTCATGGTCAATTTATCCTTTGGGGGAGTGGGAAATGGGCAGGAAAAAGGGGCTTAATGCTCCAATATAGAACAAGTGTGTTAAAATAAATAACTTATTTTATTTATCTAAAAAATTAGTATTAGAATTGTGTGAACTTTTTAAAATACATATCATTTAGGGTTTATTTCTATACTCTCTTCAAAAAACAGAGTATCGTACTAACTACTTTGAAGTTACAGTAAATAATAAAAATTACAAATTAAGTTATAAAAATGTGTAACTTTTTTACAAGTATGCAATCTATATTATTCAATTTATAACTTTAATACTCAATCTATATTATTCAACACAAAATTTGTAATTTAAAATTTTATAAAATGATTGGCTATCAAAAAAAAATTATAAAACGATACACTGTTAGACAAAATAACTAATTGGACCCCATATTTTGTAGAGAAAATTTGGGAAAAAGGGGAGCCGAAATATCAAGTTGCTAATAACTTTTCGGTGCAATTTGGTACCTAAAGCGAACGGAAAAGGTATATACACGTGATCTATCAATGCAGATTTTACATAAAGAAAAAGAGGACACTTGATTTCCATTAAAAAGGAAAAGAGAAAAAGAAACTTGAATAGGTGTAGTGTCATCTATCTACTATCTGTACCTAAAGGGTCTTATCAAAAGCAAAGGATGATGAGAGTTTGGGATTGGATTTAAGTTGGCCACATGCAGTGTTCCAGCTGACACATTCCAAACCGAGGGGAAAGTGCTGAGTGTTCCTATTTTTTTGCAAGCAAATGATCGATTGACATGCAGGAATAACTTGTCTAGATGAAAGGAAATTATGTGTATCTATTTTTAAGTAGTAGAGCAAAAATAAAATAACAAGAGAAAAGATCCGTTTACAAATTTTTTTGTACAAATTACACTATCTTCTCCCGAGAGAAGATAGTGTAACTAATGTTCTCCCGGGAGAAGATAGTGTAATTTGTAAGAGTTCGTAAATAAAAAAGTTTGTAAATATAACTTGCCCCAAATAACAAATGTTTAAAATGTTAACATTTTAATAACTATTAACTCCATACTTTCATCTTTAAAATACCTCTTACATTTTAGATAAGTCAAATGAATTTTAACTTCCTTTGGAGTACCACTGTTTAATGTCTGTTGAATTATATGTAGATTTTAATGCATTTTTGGATTGTGCCGTGATACATTTTGTTGCAAGAAAAAAGGGCTTCTTTTTTTTTTGGAAAGAGTTGGGAGTGTTTAAAAATTACAAATAATTAATACCCGCATTGGGGCTAAAGTTTATGCAAACCATGTGAGATAGCTAAAGCTTATGTAAACCAAGTGTCGCGAACACTTCATTAACATTGTACTAGGAAAAATTACATGAAACTCCTACAATATCTCGTTCTTTTTTTAAAAAAAACAACAACAACTAATTCTTGTATATTTGAGGATGAAGTAAATAAGATCCACATTGTCTCTGCATGCATAAAAATTTAACAAAAAAAAACTCCTTTCAAATAAATTTATCTCTGAAAATAAGTGAAAATGTATTTATCTTTGATTTAAATTTCATTTGGTTGAATCACAAACTTAACCGAATAAAATTTAAGAATAAATAAATATACTCTTACTTGCTTATTTAATATTTAGAGACAATTTTACTTTAAACTAACTCTAATCATTATCCCCTGCCTCGTATATATTTTCTATATGAATGCATTAGTAATGTGCCACATATCTTACTTCACCTTAGCTGGACTAGAAGTAACAGATTTCTTTATACAGTCTACTATTCCTTCACAATCTGCTTCAATACCACACACTGAGGCTTCATCATCATCATCCTCATCCTCTTCTGCATACGAATGAGGTGACCGGAGGTTCCCATGGGTTTGACAAGCCTTCATTGTCTTACAATGTTCAGCTTCGTCATCTCTGATATTTACAAATACGTCGTACAGATTCTCTAAAATGGAAATAAATATATTGTTAATCATTGATGTCAGAAATTTCACTGCATTAAATAAGTCCAAGGCAATGGAATATTTGGTTTGATGCTGAGACAATCACCCTAACCTGGGAGTTCTAACAAGAGTTATGCAAGCAAAGGGTATTTTATTGGGGGGAAACTACAGGAAAGGAATTCTGAGTGCAAAGAGTTCTACTTCAGGACATGAACAATTAACCACAAAAATGATAAACAATGTTCAAAGAGTGGTAAATGAGTAACCAATTGATTAAACAATTGAATGATTAATTATTCTTAAAATGGATTTATTTTTAGTAAAATTCCTTCCCCCCCAACCCCCTACTTTTTCTTTTGCCATGACAATAAAATGGTTGATCAGACACAACAAATCAGATTAGTAATGAATGTTGGACCAAGTTTCAAGGCATACCTATCTTAGGCCTTCTAGAATTTGGGACTCTGGAAGTTTGAAATTCATCTGAGGAAAATGACATGGTAAGTGTGAAATTCCAGTTTTTCCCTCCAGTAGATAATCTTAGGTCATAAAAATGAAAAGCTTACCAAATAAATACAAGTCCCCTCCTGTATAATAATTCACAGCAACCTCAGGAGCCGGCATTTTTTTCAATTCCTCTACAAAATTTTTTATCAGACCATGTTAGAGTTATTGAATCACCTGGAATACACAACATAATAAAAGTTGCATGTGAAGGAAAGAGGAACAGTTTTTGGAACCTTCATGAAATTAAATAATTAATATATTATTCGTTAAATAATCAATGGAGGACCATTTATCTGTTTTCTTTTCTTTTCTGTTATTTTTCTATTTATAAGAAAAATTCAGGTCATTTCCAGAACAAGTCAATCCAAGATAGATAAAATAAAAATGAAAATGCAAGTCACAAGTCTCAACAAAGCCAGAATAAGCTCAACTTGTCACTATTTAACCACACATCAGCCAAACAGTTGGTCTTAAAGGGCAAATTCCAGTGTACAAAGATTTCCTGACTTTGCGATGATAGGGTTGAGGGTTGTTTGTATGTAGCTTTATCCTTATATTTTTGCAAAGAGACTGTTTTTTGAACTCGAACATGTGACTTTTGGTCGCAACGAGCAACCTAACAACTTGTCTCATCTTAATTAATTTCCATATCAAATAAATCATGACTCATAAGCAAGATAAGTATAATCCAATGGTTTTCCAACCCTCAATTATGAAAGCATACACAACCAAGAGTATAAACTATAAAAACGTACAATTAAATCTTAATAACACATAAAAGAAAGAGAAGAAACCTCCATAATACCTCCTTGGACCTTGATAAATTTGTCATAAGTTTCAAATGCATGACTCTCTACACATTCAGAAAAATGATCTGCACTAGCAATAAACCATAGACAAATTCAGCTAACCAAGCAGACAGGTACTGAGTGGTAGAAATGTGTAATTCAAAGTTGATAATTTGGCTAAAGAAATCTAGGTCAGTTTGTTCATTCTTGTTTGTTTGTGCTGATCAACTGTATTGTTTTAATTGTTTTAAGTTCAGTAATGTAGTTTTATACTTTAATGTCAATTGCTTTCCTTATTTTCTTTTTATCAATTATGCTAAGCAAAGACCACATGGACATGTTTGATACTTCCTCAATTGATCCCCCAGTTGATCAGTGTAAAGAACCACTTCAACCCAAAAGCTTAAGCTTTTGGGTGAGGCTATATTAATGGTTTTATATATCTCAACACGCCCCCTCACACGAAAGCCCACTGACTTGAAGGGTGGACAATGCACAGGCCCACCTACCTGTGCGAAGAAAGAAATTCCACTTGAAAGAAAGTGGGGGGCGGTGAGGATCGAACTCGGGACACGAGGCTCTGATACTATGTAAAGAACCACTTCAACCCAAAAACTTAAGCTTTTGGGTGAGGCTATATTAATGGTTTTATATATATCAACAATCAGCATATTTGTTATAACCAAGCATAAAACTAGTAGTAAAATATGTATTCAAATGTGCAAGCAACTTCTGTCTTTTCAATCAAACAAGAGCCAATTTTTCATTTGGTGTGTTCAAAACTCCTCATGATATGCTATACAACTTTACTTCACTAAATTTTCATGATAATCCAACCAACAAAAATCAACTACTTAATACTTACATGCCATTCTTGGGCTTATTGCATACATTAAAGTTGTCATAATATAATAAAATATTGCAATATGTTGAGCCAGAAACCGGTCAAACCACCAAGCATTCCCGCCGAGTTCCTGCAACAAGAGGTCCAAGCTTATTGCATGCAATGAAGTATGTGAATAATGGAGTCCACATGCAAGAGATTACATACTATAAAACTTGCAAAAACTTCCCCCAGAAGTATATTTTTTGTTCTCCTTTTTCATTTAAGGGTCCTTTTGTTTCATGTAGATTATATAGGGGCAACCAGGAGCTATAAAGCTTCCGCTCAGTGCAGAGCCTAAGGAAGGTTCTTCTTATTTGAATCACACATTTGAACACAGTTATTGAAAGGAATCCCCTCAATTTTCTCTTTCAATTAGGTCTTCTCATTCAACTTAATTTGTGAGTGAAATAAGATGAAAGATTTAACCATTTGATTGAGACTTCGATTCTGCTAGAAGGATTTTTCCACCATTGAAGCACATCCTCAATGGAAATTGTTCTAACAAATGGAGTTGACAACATTTTCTCATTAGTAAGCACAGGAGGAGGCAAAGTTGAATATTATTGAAACAACCCCTTTTAAGAGTGATAAATAGAACACAGAGTGCACATAACAGTTAGTAGACAACTCCAACTTATAAACAACCAACCCAACTCTGGAAAGAATCTTGTATGGCCCATAGAAGTAAGGACTAAGTTTCCATCTTTCTTGCAAGTGTGCGAAGTCTATAAGGCTGAAGTTTTAAATAAACCATGTCTCCTACAGTAAACTCCACATCTCTCTAACTTTGAGCCAAAGTCAGGTTATGGTTCAACTCTTGAATTATTGAGTCTCAGTCTTAAAGCATTTTTGAAACTTCATAAATAGGTAAAATAGTAAAACTGGTTCGGATCAATACATGAAGGTCATAACATTACAATGCTTTGAAGGGAGTGATGCTTGTTAAGCTCTTGTATGATGTATTATACCAAAAGTTAGCCCAATGCAACCAAGACGACCAAGTTTTAGGTTTGGGGCTGCAAAAATAGAATTGATATTACTCGAAACAGTGATTAATAACCTCTGTTTGCCCGTTAGACTATTGGTGATGTGCTGTGCTGAAACACAAATTAGTGCCACGACACCTGAATAGCTTAGACCAAAAAGAGTTGAGGAATACTCGATTATATCACTCACTATAGAAGATGGGAACCCATGCAATCAGACTATCTCTTTGATAAAGAACAGTGCAACCTCTTTAGCAGTGTATGGATGGGATAATGGTATAAAATGAGCGTACTTTGATAGTATATCAAACACTACAAACATCGTAAACACAGAGGTTTTGGCCCAGAAATTTTTGATTTTCTATATATAATGATCTAAAGCAACAAATATTACACTACTGAAATACTGATATATTAACTATGATAGAAGCAAAAACCAACCATCGTAAATCAAGAACCAAAAGTTATTGCAAAGAAGAAAATGAAACTCAACAAATTTGAGGGTTGCTGCTTCTCCCAATTGCTATATATATATTCACTTTATTCTAATATATTCAACTACTGATCCTTCAAAAACAAAACAATGCATGGACGGACAACTACTAAGATTTTGTGGAATGACATTTTTTGAGGATCAACAAATAAGATATCAGTTGTGTTTAATGAAAAAAATTGTCAAGGATCTTACTTCCATGATGAGCAAATGATGCATTTCATTCCAGCTCTCAGCAAAATGCACTTTCAGATAGTCTGACCGCCTCCACCATCCAAAACTCTCATACATGTGGAGAACTGACATAAAGGCTGCCATAGATAATGATATTGTAAAGACCCATTTCAGATATATAAAAATTAATCCTGAAAAGTTGCAATCACAATGCACAGTGACTCCCTAAATTTACAAGTAAATTAAATACATAATTGAGTTTGGTGCTAAATTAGCCTAGTAATTTTCACTTCAAGTACAGCTGAAGAATTTTAAGTTCCTTATATTATGACGAATTTCAGAAGAAAACTAAAAGCTGATATACAGTTTTATTTATGTGTTTTTTTGTTTTTTTTTTAAAAGAGAGAGTATAATCATGTGTTCTAGCAAGGATTACACTTTATTAAATAGAGATCAAGATTTCAAGGCCCTGCATATTATTTAAAAAGAGCACTCACCAAAGTAAGGAACCCTGGCAATAGTTTCAAGCACAAAAAACCTTGCATAATTTCTGTCATGGTACAAAGCATCAAGTATCTTTATGACGGAATCCTGAAATTATCAGTGAAGCTTAAACTAAGCAATGAACAACAAAAATAAGATCCTTCTTTCCATGAATAACTATCCCCAAAAGCAGAATGGGTGATTCAAGAATACAGGCACCAACTAAATATGAGAGAATGGTAAGTTAATTATCTCATGAAATTTTTTGACAAAGTATCCGGAGATCAATTTTTCAGCGTCCATTAGTGGTATCAAATCATACCAGAAAGTATCAATTATATCTATATATATAAATTGCTTGCAGTCATACTCTTGATAATTCAAGACTCCAAATTGAGCTCCCAAAAAAAAAAAAAAAAACCACTATCATCTAACAACATGAGATGGCAAAAGATGAACAAAAAATAAGGATACATAACACTATCACAATAAAAAGGGAAAAACCCATTCTGCTGCCCTATTTCAGTTCAGAGATTGAAGGAGAAAAACTGAATCAACATGAACATGATGAGATAAACAAAGAGAAAAAGGAAATTTAAAATTACCGTGAGAAAGATATTGACTGATTGTTCAAACCTGATAACCCAATTCTCCACGGTACTGGGGGATGAACCATTAACTGAGTCCCCAGTACTAGATTTAGCGGTGTCAAAAAGAGAGGTCTTGGAGGGGAAAGAGTCTTGTACAATCACTTTATCCTCATTATCTTGTAGGAGAGAAGCTCGTGTCTTAGTCCTAGAAACGATGAAGCAATTCAGAAAATGGAATTGATAACAGAGGAAAGAGGAAAGTCGAAGATTACAAACCTGGAAAGTGGAACACGAGATGAAAGGGAACTATTATTATGATTAGAGTGAAGAAGATGGATTTGGGAGTGGGATGGAGATGCTGAATTCTTAAGAGGGGATGTTGCAAAGAGGGAAGAAGAGAAAATCGCCGCCATCTTCGATAAATTTGGCAGATGGAGCTCAGTCTCAGATATTTAATGGAGTTGGAAAGTGGAAAGAGTAAAGACAAACAACGTTAGTACTCTGTCCACGAAGGCATCGTGTTTGTCGTTTCGCGGGTTTTTGTCGCCAATTCCGGCAACTTGGACTGCCGCGTCGGTATATTCTTTCTGTTCATGTTAGGTTACTACTTTTTTTTTTTTTTTTCTCAAAACCTTCATACAATATGATACACCCAACATGCACACTTAATTTTAAAAACTAACATATTTTTTATTTTATTTTTGAATATTACAGGAATCGAACACTACACACACCCAACACCACTAGGCTAATCCTAGTGGTGCAAAAACAAAATATGTAACATATTTTAATATATTAATACATATTTTAATATTAAATAATATTTTTAATATATATAATATAATTTATATTTAATATATGTAACAGTTTATAATAGGTCATATAATTAATCAAATATTCAAAATCCATAATATAAAGCAAAAACAATTTTTCACATTTCGTTAATTTTTCGTGTCAAATTTCATAATAGAAAAAAAATAATTTTTGAATCATTTTCTCATGTTTAGTTAATAAAATATAATTTATGCATAAAAAAAAATTGGATGCATGTCGAAAAAGTTGACTACGTGTTGGTGTCCAACGCGTGTCTAACAAGCATTTTTAAAACAAAATTGAAATTCGTCGGTATTTATATTATAGGAAAATATATATATATATATATATATATATATATATATATATATATATATATATATATTAACACACAATTTTGTATTATTTTAATGAAATTATTATATTTTAAAAAAATTAATTTTTTCTCCTTGCAATATTATTTTTTTCTTCTTCATAATATTATTTTTTTTTTCTCTCTCCTCCTTATTTTATGGATGATAGAAGGTAAAAAAGAACTAGAATGTTATAATTTCATTTAAAATGGTATAAAATTATGTCATTAAAATGATAAATATTTTTTTTTATCTTATATATTCATTAATTTTGTAGCAAGATTATTTTTCACTGATGTAAACTTTTTATTAACATGATAATTTTTTAAGAATGATAAATAATTAAATAAATTATCACCATCAATTTGCCAGGAATTAATGGTTTAGATAAAATGTTATATGAGTACCTTTTTTGTTGAATTGTGGGTCTAAATCCCATAAGTTATGAATAACAAGTTTAGTAGCGAAAATATGTGTCTTTTCGTCGATAAACATATGTATCTTTTCATCTAACAGATGTGTTGTTTCATCCTATCGGACGTGTTGTTTCATCCTTGAATGGGTGTATTTTCGTGTTGAACGAATGTGTCTTTTCGTGTCCAACGAATGTGTTGTTTCGTCGTCGAATAGGTGCCTTTTAAAACGTGACCTTAAATTTTCTATATATAGACCATGACCTCTTTCAGAAATTATTATTCAATTTTCTGCACTGTTACTCTGCCATATTTTTTACTTCATCCGAATTTGCATACTTCCTTATATTTTTTCGGTGTAATTCCTTTGGCATTTTGTTGTGTTCGTTTGGGTTGTTGACTGGTAGTGCCATCAATCTTCAGATGTAATCTGTTCTATCCTGCGAGACAAGTGTTCATCAACCTTCGGGGCAAATTGTCTTAAGGAGACACATTCTGTGGGCTCAAATTTTCTGTATTATCCTACATACATTGATCATTCTATTCCATTATCTGACATCCTGTAAGTCTGTTCTAATTTCCTTATTGCACTGTGTTTGATAATTTTAATGATTAATCTCTTATGTTCTATACATGGGTTCAAACCTCTTAATGATTTAATATCACCCACTGTCTTCTATATAACATTTTTTATGCTGTCGTTGCATCACTTTTTCTGATACTGCAGACACCGAAAAAGTGGACTCCATCGATTTTTTTTTTTTTTTTTAAAAAGCCAAGATTCGCCGCCTATCTTGACTCTCTATCTATTGTTGCAAAAATTTTCTTCTGCAACGACATCAGAAGTATAAAAGCCATTTAATATATACAGAGGCAAGACATTCTTCTACCAGTGCAAGAATAAGAAGTCTTTTTCTAAATCTATATCATTGATTTAGTTATATCTAGCGACTCAAATATTTAATAAGTGAGAACTGTTAGATGTAAATAGAATCAATGATCAAGATTAAAAGTGTAACTTATACCAATGTAAACCGATTGGATCGATTGAAATCCAATTAAATAAAAAAATTAATACAATTAGAAAACATAATTTAATTTTATAAAATAGTTTAAATCAAGTTAACTAGGTCATAAAGTCAAAATTAAACTCAATCGTCCATGCTTTCTTGTTTTTATCTATAATATTGTAAACTGAAGACACTAAATTTAATATGAAATATTAAATACTTTACTTTTATTACTGACAATTAATTATAATTAATCTATTTTAAAACATTTAACAGCTCATTTTATTATAAGCGGATTAAAAAAGTTAAAATTTGATGCTTGAATCGATTGAAACCTTGTTAAATAAAAAAATTAATATGATTACGTTACGCAATTTATATTTTATAAAGTAAGTCATGAAGTAAAAATCAAACTCAAATTGAAAGAACCTAAATTTAACATGAAATATTGAATACTCTACTTTTGTTGACCGTCAAATATATTTAAAAACATATAACAACTCGTTATATTAATATTTTAGTTAGATGTCAACTAACCACGAAACAAAAAGACAAGGCATTTGGCATACCCGAAAGGATTCATAAACAACCAATCAACCACTAGCGTAAAAAGATAGCATACGTGTAGCAATATTACGCACGTAATCTTTGTGTTTGATTTATGTTCACAAGCGAGCCGTGCCGTGACGTGAGTCATAGAAAGGTTTTGTTATCGAATCCAAGACTTGATGAGTTGTTCATAGCTTTGATTGAAAGACAGAATCCGGAGAAACCTCCAAATTTCCAATGCATCACAGACCACTTATAACTTTCCACTTTTCACGCGGTAGGGCCCAGCTTTTTCGCCTATTTTTCTTAGGGGGCGTTTGGTTGAGGAAATTTTTTATGAATGATTGGGAAATGATATTCATAGGAAAATGGTAGGAAATGATAGGAAAGTGAGTTTGGTAGGAAAATATAAAAAAAAGTTGTTTGGTAGGAAAAAATTTAACTGGGAAAATTAGGTAACTTTTATAAAGTCTATGCTTGGTTGTAGGTAAAATATAGATGGGAAAAAAAAAAAACAACCAACAAAATCCCAAATAGCCATGCAAATGGGGGGAATACCACATCTAAAGTGGGAATATTTGTCCATCAATTTTGATCCAAATAGCCATGCAAATGGGATGCCTAGCAAACTCATTTAGGTAGGCAAATTTGAAAGCTTGTCAACCAAACATGGGCACCCAATTTCCCCACTTCACATTTTCCTATCATTCTCCTCAAAAACCTTCAACCAAACACCCCCTTAAACAAATCTAATCCTCTTCACATTCATTACATTCTAAATTTAATATTAATTACTTACTCAGTTTAAATAAATTATTAAAATCAATTCAAACCAGAACTGTAGTATAAGGATTTATTATATTTAATATCACAGAAGATAAATTTATCTTTTATATATAAATAAAAGTATACATGACTTATATCTCTCTTTTTTTTTTCTCTAATCATACGAACGTCTCATCCACTACTTTTATATTTGTATAGAAAATGAATTTATCTCCTGCAATATAACAAACAGTATTTCGGCTTTAAAGTCAAACATTCAAGTCACGAGTAGACGTGGCAAACGGTGATTAAAGTAATAGGAATTGTTAACGTAGAAATAAGGCTAGCTGGCAGCAAAAAAGGTTGTCATGAGTCTTATGACGTTGACAACCACATAGCGACAAAAGTTTCTGCATCCCAAACCCATAACAAAAATGAAAAATTTAAATGAGGGACATTATATTATTGGAGCTTCAAAGAGAAGGAAAGAGAGTTGAAACAGAGACTGTATCCATATATCCCTGATCTTTTAGTTTTATGTGTTCATCTGGTTCTTTGGTTCTGGCACAAAGAAAATTTCCCAGATTTCCAAGGCTATGGAAGATGAAAGAGGGAGTCTCTTACCAAAGAACAAGGAGAACCATGTCTACTTAACCCATGATGGAGAAGAATTAAGGAGCTTCAGGTCATGCCTTTATGTGGATCAATCCAACGTATGGAAAGCTTGTCTTTCTTGGTCCGTGTTCTTCTCTTTGGCCTTCATTGTACCCGTTCTGTCACACTTTCTGCTTGATTGTCCAACAACCTGCGACGCTGATCATAATCGACCATATCACATACCCGTTCAGATTTCTCTCTCTGTGTTCGCAACTCTCTCTTTCATCACCCTCTCTCGTTGGGATCGCAAATATGGTTTGAGCAAGTTTCTTTTCCTTGATAAAGTAAGTGATGAAAGCCTCAAGATTCAACGAGGATATGCAGAACAGATTCAGGTTTCTTTTTTTCTTTTTCTTTTTTTTCTCTTCTCTCTTTTTGGTATTTTGGTATTAGTTTTATAAATAATAGTAAAGTCTATATCTGCCATTCAATTTTTGGGTGATTTTTTTTATTATTATTTGTTAAAGAACTCCAACCCTCATCAATGGCTGAGAAAATCATTTGTTGGAGAATATTTTAATTCACATGATTCAACATTTAACATTGCCAACTTATTCTATTTTCTAACAAAATTAACTTGTTTTATATTATGCAGCGAACCAGGAAGCTCATCTTGCTTTGGGGACTTCCCTGTTTCATAGCTGAATGTGTGTATAAGATATGGTGGTTTGTCTCAGGAGCATCACAAATACCATATTATGGTGATATATACCTTAGCAGCATCATTTTGTGCACATTGGAGCTATTTTCTTGGCTTTATCGAACTTCCATTTTCTTCCTTGTGTGTGTCCTCTTTCGACTTATCTGCCACTTGCAAATACTAAGACTTGATGAATTCGCTCCAGTTTTCCAAAGAGAAACTGAGGTGGCATCAATCTTGATGGAGCACCTAAAAATAAGAAGGAATCTGCGGGTCATTAGCCATCGTTTTCGAGGTTTTATTTTGGCTTCTCTAATTTTGGTAACAGCAAGCCAGCTAATTTTTCTGCTTATGGCTACGAGACCCCATGCTGATGTTGATATCCTCAAGGCTGGAGAACTTGCGGTAAAGCACTTATTTACCCCATTTAGTTCTGCTATCTTTTTGTTCAAAATGTTTAATATGTTCAAGCATTAGATATTGCAAATGGAAAGTAATAGGTTGAGTTTAATGTTGCAGTTAGTCTCCATCACCCTGGTGAGTGGACTTTACATACTCTTGCGAAGTGCAACTAAGATCACACATAAAGCACAATCCACTACTGGACTTGCTGCTAAGTGGCATGTTTGTGCCACCATAAACTCATTTGACAACATGGAAGGAGAGACACCAACAGAACAGGTAGCTTCAGCCCAAGCTTTTGCTGCTAATATTAGTTGGGGATCTTCGGATGATGAGGTAGGAGATGAAGAGGATGAGTTGGATAACACAAAATTAATGCCAATTTACACCTATACCATCTCATTCCACAAGAGACAGGCTCTAGGTAAATGGGGATTTATTAGTTGTTTTTTAATGCAGTGACATTACTTGCTTTTTAGTCCTGAATTACTTGCTTTTTAATGCAGTGACATACATGGAGAACAATAGAGCAGGAATCACAGTGTTTGGATTCATGCTTGACAGAACTTGGCTTCACTCCATTTTTGCCATTCAAATGGCTCTTTGCCTTTGGCTACTTAACAAGACAGTCGGTGTTTAGAGACAGAAAGAAACTTATGTGATCCTACTACTTTGCTCATTATGCATTTTATATAGTCATTAGTTCATTTTGATCTTATAGTTCTGGTTTTGATCTATGAAATGTAAACGATGTGGTTGCTCCACAAATTGCTCAGACTATCGCAAATGTGACTTCATCTAGCTCCTACTACTCAGCGGGACAAATCCTCATATCAGATGACTCAGAGTACATTGAAGTGTCGAAAGCAGCTTTTGTTGGTATATGGCTAAAACCGTGCAAATTAAAAGTTCTTATGCTTTTCAAATATTATAAGAATTGAGTAAGAGGCTTTTGTTGCTTTTTATGTAAATCAGGCTGATAAGCAATGAATTTCATTTGCTGATTAATCAGAGAACTGGCAAAAGATTTCTTTCCGCTTTATACAAATATAAGATTGTAAATGGCCAGAGCTATCAAACAATGGCACCTGACCTAACATTTTTTGCCATGAATAATTTATGTTACTGCCGACAGAATTTTTTTGAGCTTCTTTTATTCTTATAAGTAAAAGTTAGACCAAATAATTTTTACAAAAAAACGCTTGTAATAAGAAGAACTTTTTTTTATAATGATGAAAAAAATCAAAAATTCCTAGAAGAAGTTTTTTTTCAATTTTTTTAAAATGTGTTTTATTTTATAAATAAACAAATTTTTGAGTAACTTGTAAACTGAAAATATTATATAATCGTCAAACAGCCTGTAACTTTAATTTTTTTTTTTTTAAGTTTTAACTTAAAAATAAATTTTAATTTAAAAGTAGTTTTTAGTATAACAAAAAATGTTACAAGAAAATTAGAAGAAAACTATTAAAGGGTGTTTGATAGGAGAGTAAAAAAAAATTGCCCAGGAAAAAAGGGTAGGGAAAAATAGATGGCTGTGTATGGTAGGAACATTACGTAAACGGAGTGTGGGAAAAATTTCTCTTCGGCTTTAGCTTTTACACATGGAGTAGATGACAAATTTTTCCATCGATGAGATGGAATACATTTTTTCCTTGGCGTCATCATGCTTTTTTAAGACAAAAATGCCCTCAAAATATGTATGCTCATCTTCGGCTCCCTCTTTCAGGTACCATGTCTTTCTTCTGCTTAATGCCTCTATCTCTTATGATCTGATTTCTGGTTATGGATGTTCGCGCATTTTGCCTGAAAATGGCTGTAGCTACCGGTGTTGCACATCCAGATGGAGATCCTAACAAGAAATATGCAAAAAGACACCCTTTTATGACCTTTGCAGCTCAATACTACATTCAAATCCTCTAAGCCCCAATACTGATCCAAAGGGTATGGTCCTTATAATGGTCAATGACATTTTGACAAATGCTACTAACACATTGAGTTACTTTCTCCCACAAGCAGATGATGCTATAAGCCAAGGTCGATTTGAGTTTGCAAGTTACTGCATATATGATGCTGAGAAGGAAGTGGTAATTTGGTAAACTTAAGTAACTTGTCAATATTTTACAATTATCCAAACATAACATCATTAAAATTCATCTAATTTTTCCAGAAAAAATTTGACCTATCAAACGCCTTTTTTTAACTTATCCGGCAAATAATTCTTCCCATCATGTGATTTCTTTGTCCTTGAGTTATAAACTCGGTTGATGTCTTGCACCTGTTGAGAAGTCATTCTTCCTTGTAGTTAAGATGCATGCCGATAACAATGACGACCTGCCAGTGACTGAGGTTCAGATAAGATGAAAGTTGTTTCATGTAGACATTCCAACATCTTCGGGTAGATACTCCATTATCCATATGACACAAGGAAATAATTAATAATCGTGAGTATCCATCTTTTTAAATTATGTATAGAGGTTCCCTGCAACTTCACTTAAGTATGGTTTTTCTTAATTAGAACTGCAATATTCAACCATCATCAATCAATATAGCATGGTTATAATCACTCATGAATAATCAAATAGAAAGTGGAACTTATCGTTCGAATCCATGTGCACTCTCAGAACTCTGGTTGTTGTAGCCATTTGGTTTAGGTGTTGTCAGCTTTAAGGCTTTGCAAACCCACCTTATGAGAATTACCGTCATTGCCACTCCTATTCAATTAACCATTACTGGGAAGAGACTCAAGCAGAGTATATATTTCATTGTTTTAGTACATGTCAAATTCAATAAAAGAATAGAAAGAAAGAGAACTTAGCTTATGTGACATCATGCTTCCGGGCTTCTTTCGATTCACGCTTCTCGCTTCTTTCTTGGGGAATTCTTTTCTTGGGAAATTCGGGTGTATTTCTTCCCGCTTCCTTCTTGGGGAAGTCGGATGTCCTACTTCCTGCTTCCCTCTTCCTGATTCCCGCCTTATAAACTTTGTGTGGACATCGACCCTTTGATCGCAGCAACAATTGAGATAAAGTGCAGACGAATATTTTCTCCTTCCCAAAGCCAAATGCGATAGTTTGTTGGATTGGTGGTGTTGTTCGTCAAGTACTTGAAAATTGTAGACTTTGCATTTTGAGGAATGAAAGGTGTCGAGATGCATCTCGGTGTGGGGATTCCCTGTCATGATTCCTACATCGACTTGCCAAACCATTTATTGGAATTAACCATTCGTCACTTTAGTTATACCAGGAGAATGTTTATGGAGATATCGGTGGAACTCCAACTTGATGATATGCTAATCACAGAATAAAAATTTGTCGGATCAATGTACAATTGAAGAGATAAGTAAGTATGCAAGAGGGATGGTCTTCCGTGTTTTCTGCCACAAATATTTGTGTTTAATTGTTTATCATGTTCAAAACAAAACACTCCTATCCCACGATCACACTTAAGAATAAAACCAACCGGGGGTCATAATAGATTTAACATATAAAAGTTGCAGCACATAAAAGAGGAAACAATCTCAAACCCATATAATTTTATTCTATATGAATATTATCTTTTATAATTTTTATATTATGTATAATTTTTATCTTTATTTTTTTATTTTTTAAAGTTTTAAAAACTTTACATAGTACACTGGTCCATGGTTAATCAGTTATACTTAATTACTTGCATATATAACTCGCATAATCAATGTGCATTGGATCCACGAGGATGTGACACAGATCAGGCTGGTATTGTGGGTGTAGTTGTATATTTGTTTTCCCTTTCATTTTGAATTTACTTATTCAAATCTGCAAAGAATAGCTAATTTATAAACAAAGAAAAAGAAAGATGTCACTTATCTTAGACACTTTTCTAAGTATTCGAACACCCAACATAGTTTTGCAATTATGGTATTATTGCTGCGTGCGTGACAAAACCATTCTCCCTTTTGAAGCCATTGAAAAAGTATTGATTGTAGAGCAAGACCCAAACTCGGAGGGCGGCGATTCTCTAGGCTCGGCTTTTGCATTTTGTTCGTCTTTAGCGTGAAATTCTCTGTTCTCCGGTAGGTATTGGTGAATGGAGGAGATGGGTATCGGTGAATGGAGGTGGGATTAGAACTTCACAGTTGCCACATAAGGCGCCAAATGTTCTGGAGTGAACATTAATTGTCTAACATGATAGCTAGTATTTGTATCTAGGGAGCTTATGGTAAAGATGACAGGCAATAAGAATTCCTGCACCTTAGGCCAAAGTCTGATGGGATGAACAAAGGGTGTGAGTGAGTCACCTGCGGTGGAGAGGATGTGCTCTGGGCACAAGTATGTAGGTTGTTGTCATGGTGGCCAGGATAAGTTATTAGATAAGTTCCTAGATGAGTTCCTAGATCCTCTTCTTTGTTAGCTATAAGGGGTTATATATAGATGAATGCACTAAGAGATTCTGCCTCTAGTGGATAGTTTGCAGGTGACTTAATGACATGATGCAATGCTTAATGGGTAGTTATTGGTAGTGGATGGAAGTTATGGAAGAGTGATAGAATGAGATGCTCCATGTAGTGGGGATAGGAAGTAAGAACCATCTAAGTGGTCCACAACAACAACATTAAATGTAAATATTACTAAAAATATATTATATAATACTCAATAAATAATTATCGATTTATAATGTGATGGGCCTAGTTCATCTGACAACTGCCCTAGCGCTTCACATCTAAATATATTTATAAAAAAAAAAAAAAAACTCTATTTTGAAAACCCAAAAACAATAGTTTTCAATACATGTGCCTCTTCGTAATTCGTGCTATATGCTTATATGCTTTAATGTTTGTTGCATGCATCCGTTTAACTTCACAATTATCAAAACGTGTAAAACACAACTACGGAGCATTCATTAATCTTCATTAGAGGAGGAAAAGATGACAAGACCAATGGGGACACTGATGCTGCTGTTAGTGTAACAGTGACTATTTTGTTATGTTTGGATAAAAAAATTACCAGACTAACAGTAAATTTTGTCAAAATGTCACGCGGCATAATTCGCTACGCAGTGTAGCGAATTATGCATGCAAGTAATTCGCTACACAGTATAGTGAAATATGTCACGTCAGAATGCACAGAACCAAAAATGTCACATGTCCAATTTTGAGAAATTCGACATGTGACATTTTTGATTCTGTGCATTCTGACGTGGCATATTTCGCTACACTGTGTAGTGAATTACTTGTATGCATAATTCGCTACACTGCCGCGTGGCATTTTGGCAAAATTTACTGTTAACGTGATAGTCTGATAATTTTTTTGTCCAAACGTGACACTTTGATCACTGTCCCGCTGTTGGTGAAGTAGTGGCAGCTATTGGTGTAGCAGTGGCAGCTATTGTTGTTTTTGTTTTACTTTGGAAATTGCTTGGGTCAGGTTCTGACAATAGAGGAGGAAAAACAATGAAAGCTCCAGGGAGGGGTTATCACATTTTTCGAGATGACTTCGAAGATGACCCAGCAGAATACTTCCGTAATTCGCGCAAACAGAAAAGATCATCAATAATGTTTCAGTTAATGGTGGGCCCAACCTACTTTCTTTGTACTAGCTCTCTGCTTTTTGATATAATTGAAGTGTGTGTAGTTCAATTATGAGTACATGAATTTATTTATTTTGCTCTTTTGGTCTCTCTTTTCGTTTTATTTGCGTTGAAAATTAATATTATTAGGGTTTAAACGTACGTAGTGTGATCTTTGGTTTTTGATTTAGATAATAAAATAAAGCGTCAGAACAGAATTAACTTCTGTTACTTATTAATCATAAAAATCTTAAGAAATTACTTTTTTTTAAAAAAGGAAATAAAGATAGAATATCATCATTAGACTAACAGAATTGCTAAAGGCACAACACAACCAAATTGAAAGGCTTATTATGAATTTACATTTGTGTGTTATGTCCAATTTTAGTCATTGATCTAGTTTACATACAGTTAGGGGTGTAAATGAGCTGGGCTGGGCTGGGCTTTGGCCATCTTGGCCCAAGCCTACGTCAAAAAAAATTTAGCCTATCTGGCCTACTGGCCTATTAAAGGCTTTATTTGTAGGCAAAGCCCGGCTCATTTTAAAAAATAAGAAAGTCTGACATGGCCTACAGGCCTTGTAGGCCTCCCACTATATATACTAAGCAAAAAAAATAATTGTATAGAGCAAAGAAAGTTCCATTCATGTATGCACTAGTACTTCTCATAAGAAAAAAATGACAAACAAGAAAGAGTCAACATAATACCTCAGCTCTAGAATGTATATCATAGAGGCATAGAGTCAAAGAAATGGGAAAAATAAGAAAAATACAATTACTAGATGCTGAAATAAAGTCTACAAGAGAATGTCATTCATCTAAAAATCTTTAAACCACCATCAAGACAAGGGAAAGAAGAGTATTATTGAAAGATCTTTATCAGTAATCCAGCAAGGTACCCATTGCTCCATGGTATTAAGTTGCAACAACATGTAAAATTTGGAGACATTAGACAAGTTTTCCTTTCATAAAATAAAATAGCACAAAAAGTAAGAGATATTGGTATTTGGCACTTTGTGTCTTTGCCACATAAAATAAATATTATTTTATTTTAATAAATTAAATAGGCCAGCCTACAAGGCTGTAGGCCGGGCTTGACAAAATTGACCTATGGCCTATTTATTAAAAAAACTATTTTATAAGCCTGAGCTTATTCTACTTTTCTGAAAAGCCGGACCTAGGCTGGGCTCAATGTAGGCCGGGCTGGGCCAGCCTGGCCCATTTACACCCCACATACAGTGACTTGAATGTTCAATTTATTAGTCTTAAACAATTAAAATTGACCTAAGGAGAGTTAGCTATCAAAGTTCTCATCCCATTCAAGATCATTAAAACAATATTAGTTATCCATTCGGCTACAATTGAGCAAGCCAATAAAACTAGTATCATGAAAAATGAAGAATTGCAATGGAAGGATCTTGTTACTAGGACTTGTGCCCTTAATAAAATTTTATAATCAGTTTGTTTACTTTTTATTTAAAAAA